GCATTGGCCATTGTTAGCCTCTAGATGACCTCTACAGGCAACAGTAAGTGGAGGAATTCAGTCCATGTGCATTTATACAACACAACAAACGATGCAGAGTTTTCATTAATGAATCACTCTGAGTCATTTGCCTGTATAGAAATTTGTGAGGTAAGTTAGCATTTCTCCTGCTTTTACAACTACATTTTATTATTTCTCTTTGTAGTTGCCTCTTTCTTTGCTCATCCCTAAAATTGAAGTCTTTCCAAGAACTGTTTTCTAGGTCTGCTCTCTCTCTAGCCTCTCTATGTGACTTCAGGCAGCCCTATGACTTGTCATTCTCACTTCTCTCCTGACGACTTTATATGTGTATCTAGCTGCCGTGCCTTGGCTGTTCTTAGACGCCTCAAATTCAACAAGTTCCTGACTGAATTCACCATCCATAACCACCTACCTCCCCCAGAAAACCCATTCTTTACTAGTGTTTCCTGTATCATCATCCATTGTTCAGGCTAGACACCTAGGACCACTCACTGCTCCTCCTTCTCCTTTATGTTCTCAGCCAATCTGCAAGTCCTGCCTATTCTACCTCCTTAATGTCACTTGAGACTATGGATTTGTCCCTTCTCTAGTCTTAGGGCATAGTCTCTCAACTAGACTATTGTAACATTTTCCTAAATGATATCTCTGTCCTTAGTTCTCCTCTTGCTATACCAATCCTTGCCCCTCATTCATGTGGTTTGGGAAGTTTCCAGAGTTCCTCCTTTATTTACTTTGTGGCCCCTCCGCTTCTCCACCAAAATGGTCATCCCTCCATATGATTACTGCTTACTTATTTTTCCCTATTTCCCCACTACATGTTGAGCCCTGTGAGCTTGGGGTTATGTTCACCATTCAATCCCCATGCCTAGGCAGTGAATGCTGCATGGAAGGCACCCAACAAATAACTTCTTAAATATTGGTGGTGTTGGCTGGTTTCTAATATTCCAACTATAAAAGTAGAAAGACATTAAAAACACTTAAACTGCATGATGACAAAGTCTGGAATTAGAAGTTCTGATTAAATCCCTGGCTCTATAATTTCCTTATTGAATACCTTTGACAAAACACAAAGTTTTCACACTACATATAATCATATAACACTTGCCATTACTGAGTATACAATAAACAATAGCATCTTGAATTTGTGGCTCCGTAAGTAGTTAGAAGCATCTCTTATGTAAAAGGTATTTGTTCAACATTTTTGGGGGGTAGGCTTGCCACTTTGCTTCTAGAAGGTAATGAAGGGACATAGACTTTCTCCTCAAATGGTGTCAGAACACTGGTCCAAGATAGTAACCTACTTTACAGAATGTCAGGAAGATTTGTGAAGTTGTCTGAGTATGCTCTCAAGAGAAAAGGGGTTGAATAAGGTAGTTTTACACTCTTGTACATCCAATTTTTTAAGAATTGAAAATATTTGGGAGTGAAAATTGTACACATTATTTCAGCATTTTAGCTTATTCCTGGACTTTTTCTCCATGTTTTTCTGGAGAAACAGTTTTTTCCCACACCCACTTGAACCATCTGTGTACCAGGCAAGTTTTCCAAGATGCAAAACCTAGTGAAATATGTCCATTCCATTTATTTAGAAAGAACTATGACTAATGATACTGTGGAAAAAAATGGCGTAGTTAATAAAAAAGTGCACTGTGTGTGAACGGCCAGGGAAGCCTAACTGTTAACGTCCACATAAAGCCATGACTTACAGATAAGTATTCAGCACCAGTACTTTTCAAACTTCTCCTCCAAAGACCTCCTGTGGGAAGCAGAGGGTTAGTTCAGTATTACCTGTAACCTAAAAGTATCCCCTGTGAGATGAGATTCTCTACCACTATCAAATGGTAAAATTATTAAAACATTTGCACAAATTTTGCATTCTACCCCATAATGTGACATTTGCTTTACATAAAAATATTTAAAATTATTTAACATTTGTCAAACTTGAATCTTTAGGAAGATTGCCATATTTATTATTGCCTTTAAATAACTTCTATCCACTGCCTCCCCCACCACCTCCCCGCCCCTGACACTGGCATGTACCCTTCAAGCATCACCAGTTTTGAAGAACACCAAGTCCTAGGAAATTGCAGTGTAGGCCATGGGATTTTTGTTAGAGTTTAAGAGAATTCTTCCACATGTCCCTTTCTACTTTATTGCATATAAACTTCTAAAGTCCTTTTGCCTGGCTTGCTAATAAAATCTTTAAAATCTAGCTTTAAGCACCAAATTGGTAGCATTTTCTACAGTTAAGATGATTAAGGAATGTAAAATCAGCTTCCTCAAAGAGAGATTTTTCTGTTTGGTGAAAAGGATCTGTCTGAGATGAGCATTACCTCTCCACTTCCTTCTTTAGATCTCATGAACACTGGAACTCAAACTAAGAAGTTATAAAGCTAATGCTTTTTGTGAGCATTTAGAAAATATGATCAAAGAGCAAGATGGTCATGCTCAGATATGAGTACAAGAAGTGACTTATTTATACATTCAAATTGGAAAACATTTGTAAGTCCTACCATGTGTGCTGTTAAAAGGCTTTTAATTTTAAATTATTTTTGTTAGATAATCCTGTTCAAAGTGACATTATGATTTATCACCACTAGTCAAGATTCTGATCCCTCATACACTTCTTGTTTGTATCTGTTTTTGTTCTTTGTTACATAAATATGAGGTTTATATATAAAATTCTGACTGTGTAATATAGGGCTAATGAGTCACAGATGGAAAGATGCTGGCACATTACCATCTAATAACATTTTAAACTCATACTCCATAGTAAAACAAAAGCAAATTGTACACATCTGTTTTCCAACTTGTAGCATTTCTGAATTTGGGTAGCATCTATGTTTCAAGGACTTTTACTTAAGGAGAAGAAGTCACCTCAAAATTACCCAGACACTTAATAGCCTTATCAGAAAGGATTTGGAAAAACAGATAAGATTTCCTCTGCTTTGCTTCCTGAGAAGTCACAGGTCTAAAGAATGAAAGTCAAAGTCACTAGAGATGAAGAGATGTCTTCATGCCACAAGCATAATTTTATTGGTTCTCTTTTAAAAAGTATGTTCCAAATAAGGAGGAAATAAGGCAGAAAAATATGCAAAGACTAAAAAAAATTTTAAAAACTAGAAATTTACTGGCTTTTCCTAAAGATATCCTCAGAATAGATTTGGGCAGAAGAGGGAAAGGGCAGTGAGGAGGAGGGAGCGTCTGGGAAGCCTGCAGATACTAGAGTGCATGTAAGCTTTGGTTGCTGTTTATTTTATTTGTATGATAAACATGTTCTGGGGGGGGGGAATGGAATAAAAGGCTCCAATATCTCATGTTGGAAAAGATACAGAACACAGGCAAAAGTTCTCTCTCAGACCTACCCAACTGATAACACCCATGAAGACGAGTTAGTACAAGTTAGTGAACTACCAGTCTCTAAAACATCTCTCCCCTGTTCTCCTTGGTTAAGGAATTCAGAACCACTTTCCTGCTTCAAGGGGTTATGTGAACTGTCAAGTTCTTTTGGAAAAGTTACATGACAGAAGTGATTACTGCAGAGTGTGACCATAAATTCCTCTGACATGAAATACACATGTTATAGGAGACAGATTTCTATCCACCACCTCTGCAGGAATTTCTGAAACAGGAAAGACCTGAGAATCATCATATGATTGGAGAGAGAGATTTTTGATATGTGGGTGGTAAGACTATCTTTTGTGAGGCAGACTGCATTTATCCTGAGGAATATTCCTGATTGGACTGCAAAATTCTGTTCAGTATTGTCCAAAAAAGAACTAATACATGTATGTCTTGAGTTGTAAACAGAATATCACTGGAGGAAAATCACGGTGTTGTTTTCATAACAGTGTCTGCCGTTATCTCTATATTGTGCTAACATTTTGTACGTAGGATTCCAGAAGTGCTAAGAGTATATACGCGAAACCCAGTGTAACTGCCACAAGGGGAAGTTACAATGAGTTCTCAATCTGGCCTTTCCATTTAAGGAATGTGTTGTCTGGGGCCCTTGTGTGTCTGATTTTCTTTACAGTGTGTCAAACAAGACAAGACTTAGAGCCGGGACAGGGTGGCATTAGGTACATGCTTGTTTTGTTTGTCCATCAGTGGAATGTCTGTGTGACGTTTTGTGTCGTGTTGTTTTGGTGCTGTCCCACGTCCATAGGGTCTGCCAGGCTTCCCCACAGTTGCTGCTCTGCACAGTAATCAGATCCTCACCGTCAAGGTTTGTGGTTGGCACCCATGCTGCTCAGTCAGAGCCCACAATCAGCATAAGAGTGAGCGAGAACAGCTAAATTGGCTTGCCAAGTCCACTTTGCTCTTTTCATCATCATTGAGTTGTTGGACCTCACCTACATCAACGAGGTCAAATATCGATTGAGAAGGAGAATCTTGAACAGAAAAGAGAAAAGGATATTGAAGTTGAGCAAGGGTAATGAGGAGAGGCAAGCGTGGCTGTCTAGGACTGTGCCACACCTCGATGGTTTAATTTGCACGCATGCCAACACTCTGTGATGTTTTTCAGTCAATTAAATGATCCTAAGTATTCTGGACTTAGGGCATTTATGAAATGGCAGTCACACTCATGCCACGTTATGCTGGTTGAAAAGTCTGACGGAATTTGAACTGGTGCTTGATCTCTAGACTCTCTGCTCTGAGGGCAGGATGTGGGTGACAGAGGCTTTCCTGCTTCTTTAACATACTACACAAAAGAAGCCTAACAGCCACAGCAAAATGATGGGATCCAAAAGATTCTTCCCTCACTAAAAATCTGTTCTTGCCATCCCATCTTAAGGCTACATTTCCTTCAAGAAGAGCCAGATAGTCTGATGTCAGACCCAAGCACCAGTTCCATTTTGTTTAATGGTCATTATAAGTCTAATGTGTATATCTTTATTTCTTTCTTGGGGCCTTCTGATGTCTATTCTCCAACTCTCTCACCTCTGAACTTCAACCTTTGACCTCACCTGACTGATCAGATGGTGTTTCCTAAAATCAATCATGGGTTTCTCTCTGCTGATCAGCAGCTCATTAAACGCCGCCTCATTAAGGTAGTGCTTATTCTTGCTCAAGTCTGATTTCTTCCTTACATTCGGTTATTACTCCATTTACTGTTGCTTTACCATTTATCTCTCATGGGTGGGGGTGGGGGTGGGGTGGGGTGTTTATTTGGAAATATTCTAGAAAAAAATTATGTCTCATGGGCTGCATGTGTTTGAAATGTATATGAAAGTACCAAAGTAAAAAGGTATAGAATGCCTAATTTTTTCTTTAAAAAAAAAAACAACTTAAATTATATCCAGTAATAGATCCAGTTTCCAAGCTCTCTGGCTTTGGTAATTTATAAATTATTATACAGCTTGACAAGAGCTTGTATGTTTAATTTTATAGGTTATGAAAGAGTAAACACATTTGTCCAACTACAAATGCAGCCATTTATTTTATTAAACAAGGTGAATATAACTGAAGCAGCATTGTCACAAATTAAGTTATGCAAAACTTTTCTACCAGCTCTGAGTTGTCATGATAACATACACTCTATTTCCAAGAGCTGAGAGTGCTGGTTCCTGAGCTGCTTTGATTTTAATAGCATCTACTCAGTTCACCTAGCATGAATATTTATTTGCTCCCTGCTGGCAGGCAAATTGCCTACAGGCTTCATGTTTTTTATTGTTCTGGTTCTTTTCATAGTGTAAATGTGGATTAGATAACAAATTTAAAGTGTTGAAAAGAAGACCTGGGTCTTTATCTTTTATGGTCATTGTTGGTCTGTTCCCTTCTCCTTTGTAGGGTGACCAAGGGCAGGCTGGGCCTCCAGGACCCCCAGGCCCTCCTGGCCCCAGAGGGCCTCCCGGGGACACAGGGAAGGACGGCCCCCGGGGGATGCCTGGAGTGCCCGTGAGTTGCATTTTGGATCCATTCTTTTTAAGAGCTCAGAGCTGGGATGCAGTGGGGAAAGGAGGGGCCATGGGGTTAGGGAGTTGCAGGAATTGGGAACTCTAGAAAAGTCTCCAAGCAGAGAGGGCCCTGTCAGCAGGATTCTTCTTTACCACTCAATGCATGGGAAGCCCATATGAACCACAGAGAGACCTGGAGAGGGAAATGAAATTGGTTTTCAGGTAAGCCTCAAAAAGCCCATGATTCCTGACCCCACTTGTGTGCTGACTACCTTAGAGCACATGAATGTCTTTGGCTTACATGGGAGTTTCAATAGCTTGAAAATATAGGTGAAAGACTAGGATCAATCCTTCTCCAAAGGATCAGTAACAGAAAAAATAAAGTCCCATATGATCTATGGAGAGCAAAGGAGGTAAATCTTTTTAATGTTTACTCCCTTGTAAATCATTGACCAAAAAAAAAAAAAGGTAATAAAACAGTAATATTAATGGTTAAAACATCAATAGGTATGGTTTGAATATCATTTTTCTTTTATATGTGAAGTTTATTAATAAAAATGATTTAAAAGCAATCTCAATATTTAGATCTAAGTACTTAGTTGTAAGATTGATCAAGTGTCAATAATATAGTAGTATAGGACACTACATTAATGGTTTGATTTGGTAGAGATAACCAGTAGTTTAAAGAAATATATGAAAAAGGTTAAAAATTTTTACATTTATAAAAAAATTTTTTTACATTTATATTATGGCTTTAGGGTTTGAAATTCAAATTTATTGCTGCACAAATTAATCTATTTATCTATTGCTTTGACTTAAATTATTTTCCTGAGTGTTTTCATAGTACAAATCATGAAAACATTTATCCACAAAGTAGAAAGTTTTTAAAACTGAAGAAGACCAAAAAGAAAAAAAGTCAGCCATAGCAATTAATGTTTTTGGTGTATTTCATTTTTATATTTATATATTTATGTATTTTCCAATGAGCGATGCTCTTTGTAAGACTATAGAGTATTTTATCACTTTTCTGAGACAACCTCTTCTTGGAAACCCCATTTCCCTTTCTGAAAGGGGTTGTAAATTTTTCATATGAAATGAAGGATTGACTCCCAGCCTATGATTTGCTGGTCATTAGGATGGCTTTCACTGAATCATCAAAGGTAGTGGTTTCATCCTGAAACTGTCTTTGAAGGTCTCACCTTTACTTGGAATCATATCCCAAAAGATAGAGAAAGCATACCTCTAGAGATATTTAAAGCTCTCCAAATAATTGCTGGTTGCCAACAAAGATACAATGAGTGTTTCTTCCACTAAGAAGAGTAGTTAAAACCACTTTGATGGTACAAAACTAATCAGATCATTGGGTCTTGTATATTCTTCAAGGTATAGATTACTTTTAAAAAATAAGATAAAGGTAAATAAGGTATGACAAGCTGTAAATAATTGCAAAATTATGTCATCCTTTAAATAGATATAGTTTATTCATCTGAGTAAGAAATAGGGCTTTTTACACAAAGGTATGAGAAAGTTTTTTAATTCCACAAAGATAAATTGAACTGGATGTATAGTCTCAGAATTAATTTTCATATACAATAATAACCACTAGAAAAAGGTTTTATGAAAACAAATCGGAAGTACTTATTTTTAAAGTCTAACAACTTCTAAATATATTGGATATTACAAGAATGGTTTTTCTAAAAAATATCTGTTGCCAATGACTATCAATATAATAATATGACAATAAAACATAATAAGGAATTTTGTAGGAATCTGAGTACTAGAAAACTATGATAGTGATATGATATAGCACAAATTCTATGTATTTTAACATATGCTATTAATTTTATTAAAACATATTACTTCAGCCATCATTAATCCAGGAAAACTAAAATTCAAAATCAAACTCTGCACATTTTATTATTTAATTCCTGTACTAAGGCAATTATCTCCCTATCCTGTATATGGAAGTTCTGAGTTTTCATAAAGAGGACTGGGTCCTCATCTTTATGTCACCGTGAACAAAACATAATAAATGTTACTGGAATTACAATTAAATGTTTTTCTAAGACCCTTTATTGACTTACAATATAACCATTCCTACTAGTTTTATTTAGAATACATTCTTGGCATAATTCTTAAATCTCTACTGTAATCTAGACTTGTTTTATTAAATCCTAAAACGTTTATAAAATGAATTTAAAGAAAGAACATTGGCTCTCTTTTCATTACATTGTGTTTGCATTCCTCTATTTAGCCTGCAAAGTATATTTGACATTCATGCGCCCCTGTGGGTATTGTCAAAAAAAAAAAAGATTAAAGTGGCTTTTTAATGTTTATAGCATTAATAAATATTATCACTCTCTTCTTTTTTTAAGGGTGAACCAGGGAAACCGGGAGAGCAAGGCTTGGTGGCAAGTATCTTGATTTATTTTTCTATACTAAAAATAATGGAAGTCCAAATTATTCAAAGAATGGTCAAGATTATATGTAAGAAACATATCATCATATGACTTACAAGAAAAAGAGCGAAAATTAGTAAAAGTGAAAAAAAAAAAAGAATGTGCCTGTCTTTTATGAAGATCAAAAGGCAGCACATCCACTGACGGAGAGAAAAAAGTGTGGGAGATTCTAGGTGGGAGGAATGACAGCAAGGAAGGTCAAAGGATCGAATCTGCTTTGTTCAGCCACTTAAAGGAAGATTAAGTTCAAGGATATGCCTATTAGTTTAAATAGAAATGAATCTTCAAAGTGTTCAGGTGTTACTAACCTTGAAATAGTGTAATGAACCTTCCACAGGGATTCAAGGAGTTTTTGTTGTTGAAGGGCTCCACCCAGGGAGAACAGTTGTGCCTTCTTGATCCCCGCCATTAAAAAAGATTATTAAATGATTCCACATGGACTTATTTGGAGATATGCAGGTCCCATTCCTCATGATTTGTTTAGCCTTTGCCAGGGAAAGAGTAATTGAAGCAGCTTGCTGAGCCTTGAAGCGTAGAAATCCTTCAAGCTACCTCTCCCTGTCTTTTCCTCCCTATCTCTGGAGCCACCTTTATGACCTATTTTATGACATGAACAACACTGGGGAACATAGGTTGACATTATAATAACCCAAATTCTAGAGGACATCTATGTCACATTCGTCCTGGATGTAATGATCACAGTAGACTTTATCGTGCATATTCTACACAATCTGTGGCACGCAGCACACAGGTGTTTAGGGTATAACATTTATTTCACAAAATAAGTTAGCTAGGTCCTAATGCAACTAACACACAACATTACAGCAGTTGGTCAGGAATTAAAACAAATGTGTGAAGGGGTTAAAAGTTCAAGGCTTCTCCCTGAACAGGATGCCTTCAACAGCCCTCCTGGGGAGAAAGGTCACTGAGCTGTAGTACAAGCTGTGGTGGAGGTGGCTTTGAAACATCACTGGTGAGATGAAAGCACCCTGGAATGGAGTCTGATCTAACCCGCCCCCTACCCCCCCCCCGAAATTCTTTGTTCCTGATATATAATATCAAGATAGAGAATTGATACAGGTGACTTGAAAGTGGGGATACAATCATGGCGTCTTAAAAACAAGAAAGAAATGCAACAAAAAAGATAATACGTAAAAACTAAACAAAACCTGTGTTATAAGTGGCAACTTTGAGTACAAGTACAGACAGCATTAGTTCTCCTGGTTACAGGGTCACAGGGGTGAAGGATTCTTAGAAACTACAATATAAATTTTGAAACTGCCTTAAGCAACTGAATGCAGCTGTAATTTCTATCCTGGATGATGGTCAAAACATATTCCTCCCAAACATTGTTACATTGAAGGCTCTTTGGGATTCTCAGGAGCCCATGTTTGTCCCCCCAGGTTTGCACATTCTACTCTGAGTTTCATCATTGCCGCTGGCTTTCTACCTTGATGCCCAATGCAGCATCCTCATATAAAAATTCTAAAATAAAATAGATATTTTAAAAACTATAATCTTATCTTCCTGAAGATATATTCTACAATATACTATGTGAATCACAATTTAATGGGCATTTCCCTAAAGTTCCTAGTTTAATGTCATTAAATATAAAAGCTCCACTGGTCCTCAATGAATTACGTTGTTATCTTTGTTTGCTTTGATTTCCCATTTCATATAGCAACTTTTCATATGAAGGTGATCCCAGACACTTTTTAACAAATCATTTCTTCTTTTTAAACTCTTCAGATTTAGTTCATATTCTCATTTTTAGAATGCAGCTAAGAAACTTGATTGAAATCACAAATGTTCAAAGGATATGTGTAATGTAATGATCTTCTAAAGTGCTGTCTTGTTTTTAAAGATATAAAACTCTTTTAAAACTTCCATATATATGTATATATACAAATCACAAATATATCTCAGTGAATTTTCACAGTGACATAACTATATACTATGTATAAAACCCTTTTAAAAGAAAACTTCCATATATATTTTTTTTCCCACAAGTACATCTCAGTGAATTTTTACAGTGAACATAACTATGTAACCACAAACCAGAGCAAGAAGTACAATGTTAAGAAACCCTCTTTACCCTCCAGTCACCATCTACCTCTTACCAAAGTTCACCACCCTCCCGACTTCTGCCACCATAAATTAATTCTGCCTGCATTTGAATTTTATATTAATAGAATCATACAGCATATACACTTTTGTGTCTGGCTTCTTTCGTTCAACATTACATTTGTGAGATCATCCACCTCTGTTTTAATAGCCTTCACAGCTGCTTAAAAAAAAAAAAATTGGAGGAAGAACCTTACTTCCTTGACCTAGCCCGTTAAAACTACATCACTCAAATAGCAGTAGATGAATGAATAGTCTGTCTGACCTTGGGCAAGTCACTTAACCTCTCAATTTCTAATCTGTAAAGAAAGGATAATAATACCCTCTCTGCCTCCCTTATAAGGTTGCCAAAGACAAATGCAATAAGTTAGGGGAAAGCACTTTAAAATGCATAACGAAGAACTATATGAGTGTGTTATTATTATCACTCAGTTGTTTCCCCTAGAGTAAATTACAGGTGAACATGGATTTATATAACAGATGTATTCCTGTAAAGTTCTGTATGAATCAGATTTTCATAAATCAACATATCTTAAATGTTCTGGGGAATTTTGCTATTTCAAGCAATCCTATTCAGAGTCTTTTTGTGAAGCAATATAATCCTCTAATTCGTCTTCCCCTCTTAAAGTGAAATATTTCTATGGTTTAAGAAGCTATCATTTTTTTAAAAACCACTAGTTATATTTGTTAACTTAAATAGCGCTTATATATTTTAACCCATATCAAGGAAAGAAGATAACACTGGAAAAATAATAGTTTTCACGGGAGAAAAATTTCACTGGAAATTTTCTTTGTTTTTCCTTTTAAATATCACATATGTGTGCACACACATGTGCATGTGTGTGTTGACTAGAAGTCTGGCAGACAGAAAAACACACTGCATCAGTAATTCTGGCCTCAAAACTGCTTATGGGGGTGTATGACTATAGATTGTGATCCTTTTTACATGTTAATCTGTAACAGTAGGCAGTAATTCTTAATTCACCTATCTCCTTGAGTTATGATGAGAAGCAAGTGAAAGAGTAATAATATGGAAATGCTTTATGAACTACAAAGAGTTCCATAAATAAGAAGTATCACTATTAAGATGAATCTCTGGTGACATAACTTAGCATACAGAAAGCCCACTCTGAAATATAAAGGGTGAGAACCATCTGATTATAGCTCTCAGCTAAATTGCAGTGTATCAAATACTGTGACCAATAGTGTAACTTATTCATTTGGTCCTATTTGCTGTTATCATTTTTTATTTTTGGCCTTCCCCTATCATCTTAAATTGTCAATTTTTCATAACAATTGTCTTCTCATCCACCAGTTAAAACAAGGAAAGATAATAAAAAGCATGGCCCTCATCTTTTCCACAGCATGCAAAACTCACTACATTTATTGGTTTGTGTCGTGGAGGAGGGTTGACTTATAAGAGGGTCTTGAGAGGCACTGGAGAATTTTGTAAAATGTAGAATGTCTCTGATGATGAAATGAAAAAACTAGGAGTGTTCTAAAATTAGCTCTTACAAAACTGTTTATGAGTGTGTCAGGTGGGGAATTAGTTTTCATAATCCAGGACATAGATTTTATATTGCAAAAATAATCATCTGAAGATTAACAGCATCTCTGATAGAAGAAAAAAGAAGGCCTGCAGCTCACGCAGTTCCACATTTATTTAATCCTGCTGTGCATCTATTCTGTAAACATGACCTTCGGGTTTTCTGAGAAGTTCAGGATGAAGTTTTCAAACACGGAATCTTGAGCTAAAATAAATTGAACTCCTTTTAAATAAGAAGAGAACTGCTCTAGGTCATCAAACTAGATCCTAGAATCAAAGCGAGGACTGACCGCAATTGGAAGTGCCAAAATTATGAACCCTAGTACAGTGATCTTTATTTTTCAAGTTCTTCAGAGGTTTAAATGGCTATTAAATCATATTTTTGAAGTTATCTTTCCTTCTGATATTTTACTGTTTCCTTCTTTGACAAATATGGTAGGAGTTCTCCAAAGCATCAAAGATAGATATGCCAACTCATCCCAATTTCCTGGAGATTATTTTTTGGTCCAAAGTGTCTACATCCAAGGCTTTATAGACCAAATCACTTTTCCTACTCTGAAACCCTTTCTTCCTCCCTCACTCTCCTCCCAAATATATGCAAACTCGATAGTATATCCATCTATCTCTTTCTGAATTACGAGAGTACCTAAAGTGTTACTCATTGGTTCCTGGTAGTGTCAGAGAGTTCAAAACTCAGAAAAAAATTTGCTGTTATTTTTCCTTAAAGTGAAATTTGGACTTAGTTTCTGAAGATGTTATAGATAATTTCAGTGTATTTTAATTTTGCCAGCAAGCACATTTAATACATGTGGCTCAAGTGAATATAATACATTTTATGTTAGCTAATAACATAGGCATAAATAATTGCTTCTGCTTCATTTAAAATAAAATTGAAACAACTAATATGTGAAGATTTGCTTTAAATATTTTTAGTTATAATGCATTGCTCTCCCTCATCTAAAACTCATCATTTTACTTAATTTTCCTTTGCTTTGCCAGCTGTCTTGATCAGCAGGATGGATGGCAGACATGAGAGACAACAGCAGGCTTCTCTTTGTGATTATAATCTGGCAGAGAAAGCAAAACCCCAGACCTTCAAATCACAAATAACAAAAATGACCAAAATCATCCTTAGGATATTTAGCTATTAGACTAGACTTTAACAATGGAATCTCGAGTGAAACTGCATTTAATTCCACTGTGCACACTGCCCTGCTGGGATGCCTTAGCAACTGTTCTAATGCTTTATTATCCTCCCTTAATCTGATTGTCAGTGAAGTAC